TATTACTTGGGTCTTGGTTATTAAAGGGAGTGCCTGGCCTTGACACAAAAGTGGTTCACATATGCAAATTCTACCACTGACAATTTTTCACATGCAATAAATTAAATTTGAATATGTAAAGTTCTAGATTAGGGAATTATTTCGTTTATTATATTAACAATCAGACTACACTTGCTGTATTATGTTAAATTCTGAGTGTCTCAATTTGGGGGAATACCAATGAAACAGAGAATGGTCTTACCTCAGAGACTAGTTTAAAGAATAATTTGAAAATTTATTTTCTGTGGAAGGCTGGATAAGCTTGATTTATCACAAAGAAAAGACTACATGGAAGAGCAGAAATATTTGCTCGTTCATTAATCAACAAGGATTTACTGAACACTTCAGCAAGGCACTGTTCAAGACTCTGGAGGCATGGTGGTAAGCGGGATGGGCAAGGTCCCTGCTCTGGGGGAACCTGTATTCTGAACGGGGGTGATGACAATAAGAAGTTAACAAGATCCATGAGGGCAAGGATTTCTGTCTGTTCTGTACACTTTGGTATTACCTAGCCCTTAGAACAGTACCTGGCACACAGTTAGATGCTCAGTAAATATTTGTTGAATTAAATAAAAAAAGATAACTTCAGTTTGTGCTAAGTGGTATAAAGAAAACAAAACAGTAGTAAGTAGAAAGTAACTGAGAGAGGGTGGCATGAGGATTATGTTATTTCAAACTGGAGCGTTAGAAAGGGCATCTCAAAGGAGATGCATTAGAACTTAGATTTGATAACCAAAGTCAGCCTTGCAAAGATCTGAAAGAGCTCTCCAAGAAGAAAAAACGAAGGCACTTCTCTGAGGCAGAAGCAGTCTGGCATTTTCAGGGAACATGTAGAAAATCAGTGTGGGCAAGCCACAGAAGCCATAGTAAAGTGTCCAGATTGCATTCACATTGTTTAGGCAAGAGATGTTGGTGGCTTCAACTAGGGTGACAGCAGTGGAAATCATGGCAGTGGGTGGTGACTTCATGACCAACTCTGGAAGTAGGCAAGATTTGCTAATAGATTTGATACATAAGGAGGAGGCCAAAAGAATGACTCCTAGATGTCAGGCTTGAACAACTGGATGGATGCTGCTGCTATTTATTATTAAGATGGGGAAATGAGGTAAAAAGTAGGTTTTAGGAAGAGACTTTTATAACTGACCGTATAATTAGAATTTCAAAGAAGTTGATATATGATTGTGAAACTAATGAAACGGACTGGGGTAGAGAGCGATAGTTCTGAATGTGCTTGCATACAGATGGTTTTTAAAGCCATGGTGCAAAAGAGTTATCAGGAAGAAGAGGAATGAGAATGATTACTCCATAGAAATCCAAGGAGAAAAGCAAAGAATAAAGAAGTTGAAGTGAGTTAAGTGTAGTTCAATAAGAGAAGGAATGTTCTAACATTCTAACTAGAGTTGTACAGTAAAATAAAGGACTGCCTGACTACATTATGGACTTTCCAACAAAAGAGACATTTCAACTGTAGAAGCAAGATGGCAATCTATAGGATTATTGCTAAAGAGATTCTTACATGCAATGATGGGAGTTCACCCTACATGTCCTTCAAAGATACCATTTTAAAGGACCTTTAAGACTCTATGATTTATCTTTACTATACATCTTATTTTGATCACAGACAGATTCCAGGGTAGTCATTCTTTGTTACCTGTTTTCGTCAGCAAAAGGTTATCCAGGTGCCTGTCTCCAACTCCAAGTATATATGTAATCACGCAATAGCCAGCTGCAGTAAGTGTAAAAGAAGAAAAAAAGAATTATGAAAAACACATGTAGACCAGGTTATACATTCCACAGTATACAAAAGCAGGATAAAAACAAAACAAAAAACAAACGCATTGCCATTGAGTCGATTCCGACTCATAGAGATCCTATAGGACAGAGTAGAACTGCCCCACAGAGTTTCCAAGGAGCGCCTGGTGGATATGAACTGCCGACCTTTTGGTTAGCAGCCATAGCTCTTAACCACTATGCCACCGGCTACTTTAACTTCAATTTTCTTACTACTGTTTTTAATTTCTCACCTAATTCTCAAATTAAATTTGCTGTATCACTCTTTTAGTGCTGCTCTAGAACTGCTGCAAAATATGCAATTCCACAGGCTGACTAAAGGCTCCTCATTGAAAAACTACAAAGTGACTTATTAAGGAATATTAAATTTGGTATCCATAAAGAACACATTTAAACCCAGTGCACTGAGTTCAACAATACGTGATTCACTTAGAAATCTATTTGCTACTCAATACTTGCAAAGGGTACAAAACTCCTATTGATAATATGCCTAGGAAGATCACTGAAATGTGCCTGCTTGGCTGCTAAACGAAAGGTTGGAAGTTAGAGTCGACCTAGAAGCATGGAAGAAAGGCCTGGCAATATACTTCCAAAAGTCAGCCACTGGAAACCCCGTGGAGCACAGTTCTACTCTGACACACATGGTGACGCCATGGGTCAGAATCGACTCCACAGCAACTGGTGTTACCGGTATTCTGAAAATTAAGTACAAAGATAAAATAAAATTGCTTTATGGCATGCAAATTACTACACGTGATCAAGTATTGGGAACTAGGTGTGGTGGATTAAAGATGCCCACAAATTCTCTGAGACTCTTCATTTAGAGGTGGGCTCTATGTTCTCTCCCCTCGAAACCAGGTGGACACCTTGACCAACAGAATATAACAGAAATGACCAGTTTCTCAGCACAGGCCTTCAGAGACCAACAGTTTCTACTTCCTATCTCTTAGAATACTTGCTCTAGGACCCCAGCCACCATGCTCTGAGAAGTCCAAGCCACAGAGGCTATGTTTGCGTAGGTAAATCAACTGACAAGCCCAACTGAAAGACGGTATAAACTGCCAATCATTTGAGTGATTCGTATCTCAAATACCCAGTCTAATTGAGTCTTTAGATGGCATGTAATTTTTTTTAGATTATGGAAAAGAGAGACTTGAATGTCTGAGAAAAACAGGAAAAGAAAGGAAAGGAGGTTGGGAAGGAGGAAGAAAGGAGAGAGAAATACAGAGTAAAAGTGGGAATAAAAGAAGGGAAACATTCTCTCTCAAATGTTTCCATCAGTGCTTTTTACAGTCTTCAGATCTAAATACATTATATGTCATCATTTTTCTGAGCAAATTCAGTTACATGTAATGCATGTTTATCTTCCTAGAGCAAAAATAATTTAAACTATGAAAGAGTCTAAAATATATAAGTACATTTTAAATGTTTTGAAAATTCCTAGTAATACTACAGTTCTCAGAAAAAAAGGAACATTGAGAATAAATTTAGGAATGAGTTATAAGGTCCAAAATAAGGTGGAACACTACTACACAGAAGCATTATAAAAATAAACAAATTGTATACAAGAAAGCAATTCCTATACCATAAAATGATATGCAAATTTAAAATACAGTTATAGGTCTAGAAAACCCTCTTTTTGCTCCCAGCCCCAGCTTTGATTACTTAAAAAAAAAGGTATAACATATTATATACCATATATTATTTAGTGCCCAACTCTAATGTCAATTCCTTCACGAACCTACCCTTAAACTCTAAAAAACCATCCCTTAAGAAAGTAAAAAATAATACTCTAGAATACAAGCTCCATGAAGACAAATGTTTTCAGAATATAAATAAATCTCTGTGGCATACTGCTACTTATGTATTTCCAGGAAAGGACCATAGCAACTGAATCAAAGATACGGTATGACACACTGTCTCAACACAGCACTGTTATCTTCGCTCTTGAGGTTTGTCTACCACATCATTACTGCCAACTGAGACTTTTCCCGTAATCTACTTAAATGCCACAAAAACCTGCTGATGTTGAGTGTTCTGACTCATAGCAACCCTTAGGACACAGCACAACTGCCCCATAAGGTTTCTAAGGCTATAATTCTTTATGGAAGCAGACTGCCACCTCCTTCTCCCAAGGAGCAGCTGGTGGGATGGTGGGTTCGAATTGCTAATCTTTTGGTTAGCCACTGAGCGCTTAATCACTGCATCACGAGGGCTCTTTACTTAATTGTAGTTACTCAAAAACAGGGAAAATCAAGGACAAAACTAACAGCTTCCAGGAAGAGATACCTTTTAATTATAAAATATTAAAGTGCTAGCAAAGATACATCCATTAAAAACTAAATAGAACTTATATTTTGTTACTGTTGTTATGTCAAAGCATGAGGGTCTTCTTTTAACAGCATTTTACATCTTTTAGTCTTCTTCTGGACAATGAATAAGGAAGACCGAAGAAGAACTGATGCCTTTGAATTGTGGTGTTGGCGAAGAATTTTGAATATACCATAGATTGCCGAAAGAATGAACAAATCTGTGTTGGAAGAAGAACAACCAGAATGCTCCTTAGAAGCGAGATGGCAAGACTTCATCACGCTTACTTTGGGCATGTTATCAGGAGGGAAAAATCCTTGAGAAGCACATCACGCTTGGTAAAGAAGATGGTCAGCGAAAAAGAGCAAGACCCTCAATGACATGGATTGACACAGTGGCTGTAATAATGGGCTCAAGCATAACAATTGTTGAGGATGACGCAGGACCAGGTAACGTTTTGTTCCGTTATACATAGGGTTGCTATAAGTCAGAATCGACTTGACAGCACCTAAAAACAACAACACAACAGTCTTCTTCTGATAGAGCACTGAAATGTTAATGTGTAATAAGAGTGTATGAATATGGCAACACCAGGATGGCCTGCTTTCCTTTATTCGACAATACCAATGGAAAGTAATAGCTTGAAAAACTTACCACAGCTTTTAACGTAAGTGTCCATAACCTCAGCACTTATCCCATTAGGTCCGTTATCACTTGGTGCATATTTTCTAAAAAAGTTCTGAATGACATTATTTACATGTTTACAACATCTTCAAACAAATTAGACATTTTGAAATCATGACCAACAAGTCTCTGGTTTAAAACGTAGTCAATAAACTCTAAAATTTGGATTTTAAGAAGTATTATCTCTAAAGAATCATTCTTATTATGATGCTTACAGACTGTGAAGACAAAAACACATGCTGCTACTTCCACTCCATCGGGAAAATATTAAATAAAATAAATTTACTCTTTTAGCTGTTTACTTATCATTTTGTTTTGCCATTCTCCTAAAAGTGAACATTAGTTTTTCTGGTTCTGTTTGCGTTAACAGCTTTATTGGCGTATAACTCACATACCATATATTCTCCTGAAAGTAAATATGAGTTTTTATAATTACCATTTAAGCATAGCTACTGAAATACTGTTTCCATTAATAAAAACCAAAAAAACCAAACCTGTTGCTGTCAAGTCGATTCCGACTCATAGCGACCCCTACAGGACAGAGTAAAACTTCCCCCAGAGAGTTTCCAAGGAGTGCCTGGTGGATTTGAACTGCCCAACTTTTGGTTAGCAGCCGTAGCTCTTAACCACTACATCACCAGAGTTTCCGTTTCCATTAACAAGGTGAATGAAGTTAAGTACAAATTTCTTAAATAATTAAAATGCAAGTACTAAGAATTCTCAGAAATCAGAGGAAATGAACAAATAGATAAGTATTAAGAAAAGTGCTGACTGAACAAAAGAATTACAGGGGTGCAATAAATGCAGTACATAGCATCTATATGTACTAACACAGAAGAGTTTCCAATTGATAACAATGTTTATCTCTGAGGAAAAGAAAAAGAATCGAGGGAGGAAGGATAACAAGACCAAAAAAAACAGACTTTATAAAAATTGAATTTTTATAAAAAGAATATAAATTGTATAAATCTTTAAAATAGATAATGTACCTGAATGCTTCCTTCTGTGTCAAGAACTTCAGCAACAGGAACTGACTGGATAAACTGCATGAAGCCTACACATAAATGTATGCATTGCATTAAATAAATACAGCTATTGGTTAAGCAATAATAAAAAATAAAGGCTCTGCAAACCTGAACTATCAGAAAGAGGTCTGTAAACACAATATTAAGTTTATACTGCCATTTATGCCACAGTAACTACAAGAAAATATTTTTTAAAAATTAAGCAAACTTATATCCATGTGTTTTTCTAGACCACCATTATTACATGAGAAACACAATCTAAGTTGTTTATTTTTTTATTATCTTGCATCAAAAATTTCTTCCTTCTACAGTTTTATAACATATATAAATTAAAAATATTCTAAATTTAAAATCACTCTAAGAAATCTGAAATTTTGGACTACCAATAACCTAATTCTAAAACTGTATATATGTTTATTGCCTCCTTTTGTCTATGTACTATCTTCTCCTTTTTCCTGGAAATGATACTAGCAGGGAAGAATAAATCCCTTAAACTTCCAAAAAGAAGGGGAAGGAGAGAGTACGTAAGCAGAATGAGAAGTAGAAAAAGTAAGTCTAGAGACAATAACAGAACTGTTTAAAAAAAGTGAAAGCTGTGGTCAACATGTCAGACTAATTAGGTGGTCAACATGGTGGACTAGTTAGATGCTTCCTATATCCCTCTTACAACAAAGACCTGGAAAAACAAGTGATTTGATTCTATGTGAATATCTGGCAGCCCTGAACAAGGCAAGGTTAAGAAATGAATCTGAGTCATACCAGAGAGAAAGACTGTTTGGAAGAGGTGAGGAGCGCTAGAGCTGCGGCAGCGATACA